ACCGACATCTGATAACAGTGGCCAAGTCGTAAGGGCTTATGAAAGCAAGCGACATAATCAGCTTGACATAATCCTGGTGAGAACATCTGATAACAGTGGCCTTACGACTTGGCCACTGTTATCGGAAACAAAAAGGGTCTGATGAGGGCAATTACCATTCACTGGGAAAAAAAAAGAAGAAAAAAAAAGAAACATTCGCTCATCCTTCTGCCTGGCGATCCAGGGGTCAGCTGGACTATGAAAGCACGCGACATAATCAGCTTAACATAATCCTGGTGTGAATCTTGCGATATAGAACAGCACGAACTATAGCATCACAGACAGCAATCTTCTGAGACTACCGCCTTCCCCCCAAAACAACGCCGCCCTCAGTATAACTTCAGTGGACTGGATTTTTTAATTGCGGATCGCAGTAATGACACAATCCCTTATGGAAGTGAAATTGTGGGCTTGGGAGAGAAAGAAGCGAGAGGGGGAGGAGAAGAGGGCATGGGGATGGGGGCTGAGAGGGGGAAGAAACGAAAAAAATGCAGCTTATGCAAGTTGCAATCTCAACAAAATTCGGCTTTCACCACAAATCATAGCAGACTTCCAGATGATCAAACGCGAAGTATAGATCCTCAGGCAAATACTTGTTTAGGTGATCCTTGTCAGAAAGAAGGAGAAAAGGTGCGAAGACTCGAGCAGCTAAGGACCTCACACAAACTTCAACCAGTCTCATTGGACAACAATACCATAAAAAAAACAAAAAAAACAAAAAAACAAAACGGAGCCGAAAAAAGACTCCAAAAATCTTTCTGACTTTACCGAACCTCGCCCGCTGCCTGATGAATTCTTCCCCTCTCCTAGACACCCCCTCCCCCCCCCCCCCCCCCCCCCCCCCCCCCCCCCCCCCCCCCCCCCCCCCCCCTCCTCACGCTTCTTCTGCAACGCAGAGTCGTTTACAACCACTTGGGCCAAACCACAGCACCCCAGATGCAGACTGCCGACCCCTTGGGCCAAACCACGGTACCCCCAACAGTCTCCATTCAGTCCCATCCGACATGAAGTCACAACAAGGCCGCTAACCAAATCTGATCCTTAACACCAAACTTGCCTCCATGTGACTCAGAATAAGATCCTAGGGACAACTCCTCTGCAACCTGCCATCCCCTAATGGATATTTCCACCACACACTTTCTTCATCTCCTCCTCCTCCTCCTCCTCCTCCTTTTGTTCTTCTGCAGTAACCGCTCCTGTGTTTTTTCTTTGCAGATGCCGTACTTAATCCAACAATAGTTTGTTTGTGCTCCTTCCCGCTCCCCCTCCCTCGCATCCACACCACACTTGCTTGTTTTCCTTCTCCTCCTCCTCCTCCTCCTCCTCCTCTCCTTCTTCAGTAACAGATTCTTGTGCATTTTCCTTGCAGATGTCACACTGAAGCCAACAATACAGCTTGCAGATGCGCTCCTCCCCATCTTCCCTCCCTCGCGATCCGCATCGTGATTTCATGATGTTCTCCTACGTCCCTGTTGGTGTCTTCAGCGGATTTCTGGAATTCTCAGCAGAAAACTGCCATCCCCTTTAGCTGCTTGCGATCGACCCACATAACCACCGCAGTTTGTTTGCAGATGGTGAAAGTTGTACCCAGGTGCATCCTTACGCGTTGGCCCGTGGACCATGGTTGCTTGTGCTTCACCAGCATGAAGTCCCCGTTGGTAATTTCATCCAACCTTGGGTTCTAACCTTAAGCACATCTAGAGTGCATATTGCTTTTGAAAGCAGCACGACGGGGCTGTGACACTCAGTGTGAAGACAGACAAGAGAGATGCTAGTGCTGTGTAGAGTATGTAGGCGCAAGTGACCCAAATGCAGTCAGATACATCTAATGAATCCCTAGTGTGAGCATCCCCTTCGGGCTCCTGAGGCCACTTGCTGAGCCAGAATACGATAGTGTGTCGGTCTCAGGTCCGCTCCTGGGTCTGGATGCTTCCGGTTAGGCTGACCACATATCCCCCCTCTCTCTCTATTAAGTGTGTGATCCTTGCACAGTGGCCATTTGGGTTTGTTTGGGGTCCATAACCCATCCATAGGCTTCCCTTCCCCCCCCCCCCCTCCTCCTCCCCCCCGCCCCCTCAATTTTAGACCATTTCTCGAGTTATGCAGTGTCATCCTCGCGCAGGGGCCATGCTAATCTTCTCTGTATCGTTCGGATTCTAACAGATGTCGCGAAGGGCTGATTGCAGTGGAGTTTGTTTGCAGATGGTGGCCAACCAAAGCTTCCCCCCACACTCACAAAAGACTCTGTTTAGTCTCTGGCTGCCGGTTCTCTCCTCCCTTCCTCCCAGCTTACACAACAAGCGCCAAACTGGAGCCAGCAAAATTCCGATACAGAACACATGTTCAACACCTGCGAAACTCACAATCCACTGACACTGCCACCATGCCAACACATGACTTTTGCTGCTCGTCTTCCTCCTACCTAACCTAGTTCATGCACCTGGCCTTCTGATCGCCCGTGAAGCTCTTTGCGTTAGCGAGCGAGTCTGCAGTCAAGCGTCACTGCATCTGTATGCGCTAACCGTCGACCAACAACACAGTCATTCTCATCAACTTCATGTCCATGCCTCTCAAAACCTCTCAGGTGTCATGAACTTCCAATTCTGCGCATGAACAACTCTTATCACATGCTCGAGTGTAGCGAAGACGAACGACACATCTCAAGCTATACAACGACACAGTACTTGTCCTCAACTTCACTCCACACAGCTCATACCTCTCACAGGTGTCATCGACTTTCGATTCCGCACATGAACCGATCTTATCTCATGCTCACGACTACCTAGCAGGGACGAAGGTGGATACATCTCGAGCTATACAATGAACAACGTTGAGCGACATTAACAAACAATGGAGGTGGATGTCGACAGTGAAAACAGAAATTTACCGCAGAAGTGATTTCGTTTTCCTTTATGCAGAAGAACGTCAAGATCAATTTGCCGCAGAAGTGATTTCGTTGTCCTTTACACGGAAGAAAGAATGTGGATCCACACAAGGCCCGTTCATTCATTCGTTCATTCATGTCGACGCTGCCGCCATGACCGTTGCAGCAGCTTGTAGCATAGCCACTGCCTGCTCTGCAACGACCCTGTTCCGTACGAGTTGCACCCAATTGCTCACTACCTCCTCCGCACGAGTTCCTGACACCCCTTCCTGGATCAGAGAAGCTGCTTCCAACAATCTTCCCTCCACAAACAGACTCTCAACGCGTGCCAGCACGGCCTCAAGGCCGCCTCCTTCCAGGTTAGAGTCCTGCTCCTTCACCTGCAAAAGAACAAAGAAAGTTATCACAGTCGAAAGAGTGTAAACACAATCCCCCCCCCCCCTCTTTTTCAGAGTTTAAACACCGCTGAACTGCTCCAACATCATAAAACTCACACCTTTTACAGACCTTTAGTTATTCATTTGTCGCTTGAAGCCTTAAACCACTAGTACCTTGTCGTTTCGGAAAATAACGGGCCTCCGACCTTTCAGGAGACCGAAACAAAACAACGGTCGCCGATTAGATTTATCAATGGCAGCCGTTGTCGGGCCTGGCCCCTCCGAATTCTTCGGGAAATGGCGTTTTCCCTCATTTCTGCAGCGGCAAAGGTACTAGCGGTTTAAAGAAGAAGCTTCAACTCCATGGCATGCCTAAGTGGGGCCATGTATGTGCTAAACAAGCAAATGAGTGTGCCCCCTCTTGTGACCAGGTTCATACTTACATGCTACAGAGATAGCACTGGTTAGGCGTATACACACTAGCACTTTTTCAGCCGAATGTGGTCAATTACATTACAGTAAGATACATTTAGAAAAGTCCAAGTGTGATTGTACCCCTTAGTCAACTAAGGCTACCGAACTGAAACGTTCTCCTCCCTGCCAAAAAAGAGTGTCAGCATGTAGCCATGGGACGACCGCTGCTTCAAAGCTGATAATCTCAGATTGGACATATCCAACCGAAGTTCTATAACTCAGACGCCAACAACCACTGCGGTGAGTAAATGGCAAGCTTTGTCAATTCGTCCTACCCCTCCCTTCTCGTTGTTTTCTCTCGTCCTTCCTTGTCACTCCAACTGCCTGAGTCACTTCTCACTGCCCGTTTCATGCTGCAGCTGTCTTACCCCACACCCTCCACCCTTTCCTCCCTTTCCCTGACCCTCTTCTCTCTCTCTCTCTCTCTCTCTCTCTCTCTCTCTCTCTCTCTCTCTCTCTC